TTTTTTTTTAAAAAAAAACCAATATTAATAAATAAACCATGCATACTTGAATAATTCTGGGATTAATAAAATGATTGGCAGGTTTTTATTTTTTAAAAAAACCTTTGTGCTCTCCTCCGTTCCTCAAACCATCTCCAGCACCCAAGCCTATTTCTGTCTTTTCTTTCTAATTATTCAGTGAGAGCAGCAGGAACAAATTCTTTCTTTTGCTATGCTTGCTCACTTCCTTTCCTGTTGTGCTAATTAAAAATGGGGAGTGTCTTCTGCAGATTCAGTTGGGACGATTTTAGGGAGTCAGGAAGGGAAGTAGAATTGGGAGAAGGGGAAATCGAGAAAATGTTTGCTACAAGATGAATAAGTAAAGTAAAATAACTTTGAAAACAAGGTGCTTGTCTGGGGAGGCTTTCGGGCTTCAGCACCTCCACAAACCTCACATTTTTACTGTAACCCAGTCAGATCTTTGCCATTGGATTATTGTGTGAATCAGCATGAACAATGGGGCTAGATTTGGTTGTGGGGGCATTATCCGGCTAAGAATAGCATCTTTAATATACTGCTTGTTTTAATGCCCCAGTCATCTGATTATGAACTCATTCTTCCCATCTATTTCAACACAGCAACAGATTAAGAACCAACTTCGTGTCCTAGGAAGACCTGGTCAGAATTAAATATAAATAGCATTATTTTTATTGAGATTTCAATGAAAATTAATTTCTATAACCACTTAAGCAAAGCACATTCTTTATATTAGTTTTTAAACAACATAACATTGAGTGTTTCTGTTCAGAACTCCAGGTACCTCATCCCATATCCCCTCATTTTCCATTATCTCTTTCAGCGAATCAGCCATCCCTCATTGTTGTTATTGTTTTCCTTCCCCCATTATAGTATTTTCTTTTGCACTTCTGTTTCCTTGTTGTGTATGGGTGATGCTTTAGTTTCATGAGCAACAATGCTGATCAAAAGAAATGGGAAGAACACCATAATACAATTATGATGGTGATGGTGGATGGGGGTGATAAGTGTTTTGAAAACCACTTACTGAGTAATGAAGCTTCCATTACCCCTCTGTATAGACGAAAGCCTTGTAGTAGCTTCATTCAAGTAGATTTGCAATGGGTAATCTTTTAAATGGCACTTGTTAATGTTGTTTTATTATGGAGCACTCAAAATTAAGGGGTGGAGTCCAGTACATACTTATTTCCCCCCCTACAACTCCAGCAATTATCATTAAAAAAAGTTGAATAGGGAGGCAAGACCCAACAGTGGATTCTGAACAAATTTACCCCACTCATCCCTGACAGTGAAAAATGGTGAATTGAAACGCATTTCAGACCAAGAGCCCAAAGGCTAAATTCCAAGGAAGAAAAGATTTGTTAAAGATTATGCTGGCTGTCTGGAGAGTAAACTCATGCAGCTAGTTAGGATTGTGGAGAATACATTTTGGAAGGAAAAGAGCGATGGTGAGGGCAAAGACTTATTCTCTGCTGCCCCAGATCTAGACTCCCTCAGCTAAGGAGACAATGTAGGTGGAGGAACTTCTTAATGCTCAGGAGCAATTTGAGAGCAGATCTGGGACTGCACCTCGGTGGTTGGGATATTCCTTTGCTGGAGGAAACTGGATAGCAGGCAGCTATCTATCAAGGATGTCCTAGTGTCAAAATCTTTGCATTTATCTTACAGCATTATAAATTTGGTTTCAAAGGATAATATAGAGGTAGTGTTATTGAAAGTAGTTATCTTGCCCCACACCCCTTTCCCCAGAATTTAGCACGCACCACAACGCCACCTTTCTCTTTCTATCTTTCAACAAAACCAAAAATCTAATGGGTAAGAAGATGTGAAATAGAGTAAAGTAGCAAGAGACACTGAATTATATTAGACCTGAAACAAAACAATTTCTTGGTGGAGTTTTTCTGTAATTTGCAGTTTGGACCGGTATATTTAGCAGAATATGTATTCTTGTCTAATACAGTATGCAACTAGAGGTGTAAATATGAGACAAAGGTGATGGCCCCAGGAGGTTAAGCAACTTCATTCCCATGCTTATTATAATCCTCTTTTTCTGTTACTGAGCACCCCGAGACACTAACGTTTTAGAACCAAAATGCCATATTTCCTTGTTTTTCTGAATGGGAGTAGGAAGAATTTGCTAACCCAGATGCCAGAATACCTAATAGACCAAGAAAGAGATTTCTGGGAGCTTTGGGGAAGATTTTGTGGGCTGAATTTTCCCATAAACTGTTCTTAATCATTTAGGAATCATTTAGGGGTCATTTGGGAATGTATATAATCTCTTACAACTTTGTTTCTCAGGCTAATCTGAAATATAGAGTAACTGCAAAACCAGGTGTATTTCAGTCAAGAGATTAAGGATAGCATGAGCCACCTATTCTGACAAATGAAAAGCATAGCAAAACAGGATGCTATATATGTCTCCTATGAAAGGCAACGTGTTGTGTAATGTAAACAATATGGGTATTTCTTTGGACTGAATTTAATAGCTGGCTGCTGATAACTTTGCATTATTAATGTGTGATAGGGTGTGTTTTTTAAGATCATAAATCCCACCCAGGAGCAGTTCTGTATTAACACTTGTGTCCTGCAGCACAGAACAAATGTATCTGATTGGCAGACAAGATATCAGTTGATGATACTGTTTATTCAAAACATTGTCTGATTCCATGATAAACCACCTCATTGTATTTTCTTCTTTTTTATGGTTTTCTGAAAGCAGGTTTAGAATGTTTTACACATTACAACAAGAATGTACAATTGCAAATGAGAGTAAAAAAGTAAAAACCGTAAAAATCTGGTTTAAATGCATGGCAACGTTCTCAGCGCCACAAGTTTGGCATGCGTCACACAGAAGCTGTGTACAGATTCACATGGCATTTTCCTAATTTTAAATCATGACATAAAAATAAAAAAAGAAAAGGAAATCACTTTTTTGTTTGTATGAAGAATGATGGTCATTAACAGATTTGTTAATCAAAGAGAATTCTTGGTCATGCTATTAAAAAGCTCGCCGGCCTTTTCACCCATGTGTCTTTTACCATTTGTTTGATGAGTTGCTGAGTTGGATGTTAGCCAGGGGCACAGAGGTTCATATTAAGAATATTTTCCAAATGCCCTCAATCTTAGATGCCTCTAGTAAATTAATGATCTTCATCGCCACCACCCGACACACTCTCCCTCCCCCCTGATAGTAGGGATGGAATGAAAAGCAAAATGAATGCTTGGAATTGAAATTAAGAAGAAAATAATTTTGTGGAGAGTATATTGTTGATTGGCACCCTAAAATAATGTTTTCATAAATACAATCAAAATAAATCTCTAAAACAAAATACAGAAAAGAAGTAAATTCTGTTTTTGTTTTTAAAAAATGCAGTACGGATCTATCTTGAATAAGGAAAGTTACTCAAAGTAAGTTTTCTTTTATTGCTTTGAGTAAGTTGATAGGAAAAAATGCATTGCATGAATTTGCACTTTGAAAGTGCTGTCCAATTTAACATCAAGAACTTTAAGAAGGTAAATGGTAGTATCTTAGATTTGCCCAATCATCAAAAATTGGACATGAGGTTGTGCAGGATTATCAGTTACAATACTCTCCTCATTCTGGTGGGCTGTATTATGCTGCTATATAAATTTATAGGCAGTATTTTCAGGTTTATATCTCTCATAATGTATTAGCATTTAGTGTACAGATTTTATGCCACTTTTTTGCCAATGTAGAAATGATGATTCTACTACTAAATAAATAACTCTGCTACATATGATGGAAAATGAAGTTTAAGTACAATGACTTTCTCAAGTTTGCCATTTCAGCAAGATTTTGAAATAACATGTCTATTTTGCCGCATACTGTTTTTCTTTCCTGCCAGCTAACTCTGATGGATGAACCTATCATGTCCATCCTGCTCATGTTATGGGTATAATTTTCTAAACTGCAAGAAGGAAAAGCATATCATTTTAAAAACCGTAGTATTCAAAAAGGAAACAAAGCAAGCATTTCTTATAAGGTCTCAAAACTATATTTTCTAACTAAGGAT